AGTCTGGGGGACTCTGAAAGTGCAAATTTTTGGGAAAATACCATTTTTGCAGGGGGGAATGGGATGATGAAATTGGTGATGTTCTGGGACCTAAATTGCTTGGTAAATCAGTTTAATCAGTTTGGATTCAAGGGTCAATTTGCCCAACTAATCACTCATTTTATTTTGAGGAGCATTAAGTTATGTTTTTATTGCTCTTCTTTTGCCTGTGTTCCCAGAAGAATAGTACAGAAGTTTCCTGAAGTTTCATTTGTAAATGTTAGAGATGGAATGTCTTTGAGTGAAAGAGGTCTGTGAGGGAATTAAGACAGACACTGATAAAAAATTCAGTATAAATATATTTTTGACTTGAGGAGGCTAAACTTATCATGGTCCAACTGTATTTGTTAATTGTCATGGAAGAGTAAATGCATGAAATTATATCTGGTTTTGTTCAACATGTCCAAAATGAGGCATGTGCTTCATTTTGGGCATGCTAAATTTCATCAGCACTGTTCTTCCACCAGTTTCTTTTTTCAGGTACCATAATAACGAAACTTGAGCTATTTTAACTTGAATGTCTCTTGCTCTCTGATTTGTTTTCTCATCATATAGATGACGCACGAATCTCTAAGATTTTAAATTCTTCATTGGGTTTGGGAATGTTGAGTAAGTTTAGTTTCATTTAGTTTAGATTACCATCCTAAAGGTGGAAGGAAATTGGGATTTAAATTCCTTATTTCATCATGTCAATGTCATTCATAGGCACTTGGTCATGGAAGATTGATGGACCCTCCGGCTCGTAACAGCATGTGGCGACTGGGATTCAGAAACCCAGTGAATTACAACGACAACGAGTTATTTTGCGGAGGATACAGCAAATTTGTGGAAAGTGGGCAGAAATGCGGGGTTTGCGGTGACCCTTATGATCCTAGTGGAACTGGTCCTCATGAAGCTGGTGGTATTTTTGCAAATGATATTGCCACTAGAGTTTACGTCGCCGGACAGGTCAGAGTTTTTTTTTCGTCGATTTGGATGGTGAGAAAATTTGTAGGTTTCTTTTGTTTTTTTGAATAGACCGTTGAAATCGTGGCGGAGCTTACGGCGAATCATCAGGGGTATTTTGAACTCAAAATCTGTCCTGTGAATGGCCCGAAAGAGCAGCTGACTCAGGATTGTTTCGACGAGTGAGTTTTTTGTTGTTGAAATTTCATAGAGTCCTTCATGTCGCAGTAAGTGCTTATTTCGACCTCAGTACTGTATATTTTTATTACATCTGATCGTGTTAAAACTAATTTTTTTACTAAGCTGAAATTTTTTCTTGGTTCCAGAAGTTTCTTCAAAGAACATTGTTGAAGCTGAACCTTGATTTCAATAAATACCTCCCTTTTTAAAATTTTTTTCAAGTACAGTACGTATTTGAATTGACTTAGAAGCAATGGCTAAAAACCTCTCTTTTTCGACGATGGTGTAAAACTTCAAGGGTATTGTAATAACCAAGTACAATTTCCTTTTTTTTCCTTCTTTCCCCCTCAACAAAAATGTTTGTTTTCTTCCTTTTTGTTCGGATTTTATTCGCAGGTGTGAACAGTTCTAGTTCATCTGAAAATTGTCTCATACGTGGGGTTACAGGTTTCCGCGCAGACCTTATTATATCGAGATCCCGCAGTAAGTTGAGGCTTTTTCTTAGTTTGGAACTTTCCCCCCTCCTTCCTACATTACTGGAGATTTCCCTTTTTTTACATAATTTTCTTGCGGAATGGAAGGGCAGAGGAGCTGTACAAGTTATGTCGTACCAGTTTCCCGCGGCGTTTGCGCGACATTGACCGTGAGAGGGTTTCGAATTGTCATTTGCGACAACTTTTGTCGTGGATACAAGTCATTTGCTTTAACATTTTTTTTTGACGAAAGTTGTAGCAAATTGCAGTTTGAAGCTCTCTCACAGTTGAGGTCACGTGTAACCTGTCGTTCAGTACTGCTATAGAAAATTTTCTCGTAGATTCGTTAGCAAGAAAAATAAAAATTGGTTCAGCAAAGAAGTAAGCTGGTTTTTGAGGATTTTGTACAGCTTTACCGTATTCGAAAAATGTTTCGGTGTAAAAACGCGAATTTGTTTGTCTGACACAGCCGGGTTCCACTAGATGGCGCTCCTAACTCCTTGAGTGCATACTACAAATGCAGGGCGACCCAAACAAGAACAAGCACAGAAATCTCTGAAATTCAAAATACCTGCATCTCTCTCTCTCTCTCTCCCTCGTAACATAACAGAAACCCGTTACTGTTGGTGGGTTCCGGAGCACCCAGATTCTACATCCCGGAAGGAACCCCGAAGCAGGTCACATTCAGGTACGAAGTCCAACTGCCGCCGGGATTGACCTGCAGTCAGTGCGTGGTTCAATGGCGATACGCTGCGGGTAACACTTGGGGAATGTGCGACGACGGCTCAGAGTCGGTGGGTTGCGGGGTTCAGGAGACGTTCATCAATTGCGCCGACGTCGTGGTGACGAGTAATGCGCCTTTGTTGTTGCCCTTCAAGCCGTCGATTGTGAAGGAAATCGTGTCGCCGGAGAAAAATATCGCTGTGTTGACCAACAATGTCATCAGGTACGTTTTGGGGATTTTTTGTGTTTTCCTATGGCTTTTTCTTTATAACAATGTTTAGCTGTGAATTTTCTTTACGACGAAGCCATTCGGACGAGTGAAATAGCTTCGTTGTAAAGTGCAATGGTTTCTTTATAAAGTGCCTAATTCAACGATGTGGCTGGAAAATGACTTCGTTGTGAGCGATTATTCTTGGTAATGAACTTCTACTGTATTTCCAGTGAACAAATCTGTTAGGGCTGCTTCCGCAAACGACTTCTGCAGCCCTACATACTGACCACATCCTAGTTAACAGACGCCGTTCTCAGCTCCTAAACAGGAGGTGTGTACACGAAAACAGGCACTCACTAATATAAAAAAATGCTTCTTCAAGATGGACTGAAATGAGATTTTGACTTGTCACTATTTTCGTGTGATTTATGTCATGTTTCAAACATTTTTCACCATGTTCTCCTGGAGTGACCTTTTTTTTAATTCGAGATTTTGGTTTAAAAACGTGATTGAGAATGTGGAGATGCTGAAGGCGATAGAAACCGAGGTTGAAAATTGATTGTTGATGCGTTGATGTTCTTGGTTTAGGTGTTTAAAAGCATTTATGATGAGATGCAGTAGAAAATTTAAAGCCATTGAGGCTGACTTCTCTTGTTGGCTCATATTACTGGAAATAATGAGGGGATTGGAATGAATAAGCCGTGCAAATTAATTGAAGAATAGTTAGAACTCTTCGCGAGTTGTCCCTGTGCTAATTTTACCGTACTCTGAAAATGTTGGTTGATCAGAAAGCTTTTGTGCTGATTCGCAGGAAAAAATGCAAGGCAATTGGCGACTTCTCTCGTCGAGCTGAAGCGGATGTTTATTGCAACCAGAACTGCTTGAGGTACCCGAAAACTTGCGATTCGGATGATCCCTTGATTCATCGTGCGGATATTCGCGGAACTTGTGTTCCGGTATCCCGACGAAGGCGTTTGCTGAAGACGTCGGGATGTATGACTGGTGTAGGATCAATTGTCTGCGGCAAGAGTCGAGGATTTGTCCTCCACACATGTGCTTTTGTCCGTGAGTGATTATATTTTTTTAGCATCTTCAAGATGGACTGAAATGAGATTCTGACTTGTGTCGCTATTTTCATGTGTTCCATGTCATTTTTCACCATGTTTTCCCGGTGTGAACTTTTTTTAAAACCGAAATTTTTGGTTAAAAATGTGATTGAGAATGTGGAGATGCTGAAGGCGATAGAAACCGAGGTTGAAAATTAATTGTTGATGCGTCGATGTTCTTGGTTTAGGTGTTTGAAAGCATTTATGATGAGATGCAGTAAAAATTCTAAAGCCATTGAGGCTGGCTTCTCTTGTTGGCTCATATTACTGGAAATAATGAGGGGATTGGAATGAATAAGCCGTGCAAATTAATTGAAGAATAGTTACAACTCTATGCGAGTTGTCCCTGTGCTAATTTTACGATACTCTGAAAATGTTGGTTGATCAAAAAGCTTTTGTGCTGATTCGCAGGAAAAAATGCAAGGCAATCGGCGACTTCTCTCGTCGAGCTGAAGCGGATGTTTATTGCAACCAGAACTGCTTGAGGTACCCGAAAACTTGCGATTCGGATGATCCCTTGATTCATCGTGCGGATATTCGCGGAACTTGTGTTCCGGATTGCCCCACGGACAAATGCGAGTGCGAGTGAAGAAGAAGCAAGTTTCCTCTTCGAATGCACACCTTTTATTTTATTTTTTGTACACGGTGTATTTATTATATTTTTGAATTGTTGAGCCTAGGCTTTGAAAAGTTACCAAGCTGTTAAGTTGTTTGATGCTTTTATTGTGGCGTCATTGTTGTTATTTTTTGTGTTTAGACTGGAACATTCCGGTCAATTCTTTGAGCGAGTCTCAAGTTTTCGCACCCACCTTGAAAGGTTTTTTTTTTTTTTAATTTTCGCGTTGAACTTTGAGCTCAATTGGTTAACCTGGCGAAAAACCACTTTTTATGGAATCGAGGGGGGAGAAACATGACCGGTGAGTGAAATTTTGCTTTTATTTGCTCAGTAAAACAAATACTGAACTGGAAGTTACCGACTCAGTGAATTGTTGAGTTTGACCTGTTCTCATTGCTTGGAAAGAATTGAAACTGATGGTGATGCTGGAATTCGGTGCTCATGAAATGTATTCCATTTTACCTCGTTTTTGTAATTTCTTGGAAATGTGCATTTTTACGCTGTGGACGAGCAATGGAGAAGAAATGTTTTGCTTGAATCAAATTCATAATCATCGATGCCTGTAATTTTCTTTGGGAATATTTTAATTTTTTGGAATCGTGTTGAGAGTCTTATCAATATTTTTTTTGAGGAATTACTGCGTAAATGTTTCAATTTCCCTTAATTTTTTATCAATTCTTCAAAATCTAGTTTTATTTATAGAGATGGAAATCTTGCATATTTTAAAATGATTTTGGGATTCACTTGGCGATAAGATTTTGAATTTAGCACCAAATCGTAGAGCTGGAGAAGTTTTTAATACTGCAATTTTTTATAGCTTGGAAAGGGTCAGTTTATGTTTCCGAAGTCCAGTCTTGAAATGAGGCGCGGTATAGTTCTGAAACTTCTTATAAGATCTATCATTCAAAATTTCGAAGTTTGATGTGATGATTTCACAATCTAACTTCTATATTTTAACTGTGAATGCGTCTAATTTTCAATTCAGACCTCGAGCATTATTTGAAAACTTTTTTAAAATTGTGCTAAAATATAGTTTATTAAAATTTGAGGACGGTAAAAAGTTACCAGGAATTTCGGATATTTTTTGTGAAATGCAACTTCGGGTAAACTTCCTCAATTATTTCAAGGGCATCGTTTATTCTCCAATGCTTGCCGTTAATCTTTAAAAGTCTGTTTATTTTCCGAAGCAAAGTGATGTCTGCTTTTATTTTCAAAGATGAGTGCCTTGAGACGAATGAACCTTCTCTGCAAGCAACAGCGTCTCCATGCCTCGACATACAGCAAATTGGTGGCCAGCATGAAGGACTTCCTCAGGCCAGGTGCACCAAAGCCGCCCTATGATCACGTCTGCGTCATTGGAGACCCTGTTTTGCGACATGAAACTCAGCCTGTGGACATTGAGAAACCAGAGCAAGCGTTAGAGGTTTGTGTTTGGCAAGGCACAAAACGCATGCCATAAAATTTAAAGGGTACTTTCCTGTTATCTCAGTACCTCATTCCTAGACTGCACTACCATCCAGACAAATCTTAAGGACAAGTTCATAATCACAATAACCTACCAGAAACTGTGAATTTTATTTTTCTGCATTCTGCTGAAACTGATTTTGGGAGGCGGTTAGGTAAAGTTAGGTTAGGTCATGTTAGTTACAAATATCTTTTGACTAACATAACCTAATTTTACCTAACCGCCTCCCAAAATCAGATTCAGCAGAAACCCGAAGAAAGCAGAAACTGATTTTGGGCAGTTAGGTGAAGTTTGGTTAGGTCAAGTTAAATTGGTCAGAGGGAAGGTACAGAGATAACAGGGAAGTACCATTTAAAGTTGGATTGGTGCAATCACCTAATTTCTTTTTTTAAATTAATGAATCTCTTTGCTGTGTATACATACTTCCAGTTTTTGTTGAATAAAAAAAGTTTTTCCTCCTAGTATTAAATGGAGATCTGATCCTATTAGAGACCAGCCACTTTTTACTTCTGGTACAGCTTATATAATACTGTAGCATAATGTAGTAAAATCTTGTTACAATCAATTTCATTATTAAATATTATTGTTTACAACGAAGTTATTTTTCCATAGTAATAATGCCATTCAAAACATTTTATAACGAAGCTTCTTCAAGGTCCAAACAGCTTTGTTGTAATAAATTTTACTGTATAATTTTTTGTTCAATTGAGCCTCAAGTTAGCTTCTGTTCTCTTCCCTTCATATAATTGATCTGCATCAAGTTTTACCAGAATTTTTTAAAGGGAAGCAAAAGGCTCTTGAAATTCTCAACAACAGTCCTTAGTGCGGTTTTGCCATTTATTCGTTTCGATTACCAAGATGTCCTCCCAATAGCATTTTAGGAGTTGAATTATTTTCTCTCAACACCTTACTTCATCGCAGTTGATTGAAAGTCTGCGGAAAGTTATGAAGAAAAATGGAGCCATTGGTTTAGCTGCACCTCAGATCGGCGTTCCGTTAGCTGCATTTGTGATGGAATTGTCATCAGATGCACAAAAACGGGTTCCAAAAGATGAGTGGAAGGTCAGGGAAATGGCGACTATTCCTTTCACTGTGAGTCAATGTCTATGGCGTTCATTCGATTGCTAATTTGGTGATTTCTGCGTCCTTGGATCAAACAGGATTTTCAGTTCAAGAGAATTTTGTGTAAATAACTAGGTTTTAAATGTAGTTAGTCTAGTTTGAAGAAGAGGTTGATCTGACCATTCATTTTATTTAGTGTGTGAGAAGAATATTTGCAATTTTGGATAATAGACACGAAGACATTTTTTAACATGGTTGTGAACGTCTGTCAAGGGGGGGATTTATTCTAATTGGATATTCATTCGCAATTATTAATTATGATTTGAGAATTTCTGAGGGATTTTTCCTGGGCATTAAAATTAATTTGTATTGCATTGATGGACAGAAGAAGCAAATTGAAACCCGATGCAACGTTTTTATCTTTCTGCAATCTGAGATGGCCATGCAATTTTGAAAGACAAAACATGAAAGACTTCCATCCATCCTCATTTTACAAATCGTGTGTTGATAAATTTTGAAAATATTTTCAGGCAGTGATAAACCCTCAAATTCGTGTGTTGGATAACACTGTGATCAAGTTTCCGGAAAGCTGTGAGTCCATGAAAGGTTACTCAGCAGTTGTGCCGAGATTTTACAAAATCTTCTTGAAAGGTAAGTGAATGACAACCATCATTTCTGGAATGCCCGGCAGGTGTCGCCTGAATCGCTTGTCATAAGAAATTATATCCTCGGGCAGCGTGAAATTAATGGAATTGTCTGTTACTGACGCAAAGTTATTGACTAGACGCAGTGCTGTCCAACATACATGGGCCAGATCTGGTCCGCTGAGACTCCTTATCTGTCCTACGGTGCCTGCCCTTTAATTTTCAAGGTGGCAGCTGCCACTATTCAAAATTTATTTTGAAAGCTGCGTTTCCAAAACCCTTAGAAGTTTCTTCCAAGGCTTTGCTTGTGAATAAATGCTCAACACTGAATTAAATTTGAAACTTTTCATTCAAAAGGGGAAAATTGGGAACCTCAATAATTATTGTCTTTTTTTTACCTGCTATTTCTCTCCACCTCTGAAATGTGACCCTTTGCCTCAAAAAAGAGTTTTAATATGGCACTTGGCTACGTCTGAGTTTGGCAGCATTGAATTACAGTATTAGTTAAAGACAGAAAATACCCTTGATTGGTTAACATGGAAAAATGTAAATATATTGGGGTGACACCTATGTAATGTATAATAAAATGATGTAATGAAGGATCTTGAGTCCAGTGAAGATGACCTGTGATTGATTTCTGTAGGTCTCAACCAAGAATTCAAGCCCTTTGAGATGGAAGCCTCTGGCTGGACAGCCAGAGTGATTCAACACGAAATGGACCATCTCAGAGGCATTCTGCTCACCGACAAAATGGATCCAGATTCTCTACAATACGTCAAGTGGCACATCGTGAATTGCCGCGGAGGCAAATACAAGCAGCGAATGTATGGAAAATATTTGTGATACGCTCCGATTGACTGGGGAAAGAAGAAAAAGAAGAAGACGGAAATTTTTTTGAGATTAGTTGTTATCAAACTTTAGAAACTTATTTTCAATTGAACGTGTGAAAATTGTGGCACGGGCAAAGTTGGCCGAGGGCGTCCCGGGGAATTCGCTTCCTGCTCTTGCATCGACTCTACAAGGGCTTGCTTGCTAACAAGACGCAAACATCCCTCGGTTTTGTGTACATGTGTGAAACGATTTCGGTTTTTTTTTTTCCCTTTCCAATTGTTGGAAACGAAATTTCGAGTCCAGCCTGTGTTTTTTTCCCCGCACGATCCGCATGCGGTGATGAAGAAGTGGACCTCTGAAGTTTGGTGAAGAAATGTCCACTTGATCTGTGGAAAGGCGCCTGAAATCAAAATGCGTCAGGATGTGGTCCTCGCTTCCTGCCTTCTCTCAGTTGTTCTTCCATTTGGTGAGAAGCTATCTTTCATGGCGTGAATTTTTGCGAGCATGAGTTCTGATGATGATAATTTTATCGTTTTCATTCATGTCCGGGAAATTACGAGCTTTTTTTTAAATTTTGGTGCTTCATTTGTTTTTTGGTCGTCCTAGCAATAATTTTCACAGCTGTGGCTTTTGTGGTCCTGTTGAATCTGCAGACTTTTTCTCTTCTTTTCCTTCCAAGTTGGAAACCAGTGACGATTTGAATTATCTTGCAGATCAGCGGAGAAGAAATATTGAAGAAATATTTTAAAAATTGATTTCTGTCGATAATCATGCTTTCTCTAGCAATCATGTATTTTTGAACAGCACATTATTAAATCACCTTCATTCAGATTAGGAGGAATGAGGCTCTTTTGAAATCTTCAACCATTTCTCATCATGTTCTGGAAATTACTTTGTTCTTTTATCAGCCTCAAGAATTGAGATGTGCCATCCTCTAACAACCACTGAAATCAAGGAAATTGTTTTTTGCTGACGGGCAGTAATTACTTGTAATTTCTACTAGTGATGCCAAATTTTGAAAAATAAAAATAATGATTCATCATGATGATGCCTCACCACCTCATTATTGGGGGAAAAGTACAATAGAACGCCTACAAGGATTCTTCATTTTATGCATGACAAGTGCTAATTTTTTTTGGTTTGAAATTAGTTCTGTGCTAAAACAAGTTTCTAATTACATTAAGATGTTTCTTTAAACTTGAGAATTTTAATTGCCGCTCTTTTCTGTGATGCTCAAGGGAATTTGTTTCCGTTTACATTAAAATTTCTTCAACTAATTTCTCTTTGTAATTGCCTTTTTTTTGTGCGTGCAAAAAATGTTCCTGCGTGTAAAACTTTTCCAAGCAATTGCTACTTGTCATTGGCTCTTTCTTTTTATTACGTCCCAAAACATGTTTCTGTTTACGTGTAAAAATGTTCCCAACAGATTGCTACATTTAATTGCCTTTGTTTTTCTTCTTCATTGAAATATTAATGGCTATAATATTGAGTCTTTCGTTGAGTGAACCCTGAGAGAATTGCTTTTTCGATCCCAACAGGATTGAAACCCGTCGAGGCAGCTGTCCCGTCACTACACTACTACCACGTGAACTCCGAGGAACAGCCAAAATTTTACAAAAGGTTCCAGCGAAGAATCCTCCCTGTACATTTCCCCGACTACACCGAAGACGACGACAACAAAAGTTGGCACTTGGATAATCTTGAGATCGAAAACTTGGACCAGCCCAAGCCCTTCGTCGACGACTGTCCCTTGATTGAAAAGTACCAACCTTATTATCCGTCGGAGAATGAGTCCGACGACGACCGGTTCCAGAGATACGCTCGTTCTCGCAATTCCGTGAAGCAACAACAACAACAGGCGAAGAAGAAGAAGAAGAAGACCAAGACTCGGTTCAACAGCGAGGTTCTTGCTTGTCGGACCTTTCTGGACCCCTGGACTGGGCTCAAGTGCCCCTCGCGGCAACCCATGATTCCCGCCGTCGCCGCCTCGGCCGCCATGGCCCCGATCGCCGGGTTCTGGCCGCCGCATTATTTCGCCAGGGACGCCGGCCTCGCTGCTGGGCATAATCCCTGGGCCGCCTACAGCATGATGCATCCTCCGCCTGTAAGCTTTGCAAGTACTGTACAGTACAGTTGTTTTGAAGTACTGTACCCGTATTTACTCTAGTACTATGCGCCCTCAAATAGGACACACGGACCCGCGGTTTTTCGTCTGAAATTTTCCTTCATTGTAAAGTTTTTAAATTGTGAAGAAATTGAATGAATGAATTGTATGGAATTTTGCTTAAATTTCATCAGTCTAATTGAGTAAGGCACGCATCCCATTTTATTGACTTAGAAACTGCAATACCTGTATTTTTAAAAACATGAGTTCCCAAATTTTAATTTAAACATGAATTAGACCTCATTTCAACCAATTTTAGAATTGCTTCTCTAAAAATATGTTTTTCTGATGAAATCGAGCCAAATTTCAATTGGAGTCCACTGGAATTTAAGCGCACTTAAATTACTTGAAATTTTTTAAAATTCGTACCTGCCTATGGCACTGACCCTTTTTTTTCCTCTCAAGTTTGAGAAAACACAGTCTGTAAAATCCGCATACAGTATATATATATTTGGATTCATGCTAATTTTTAGAATTTTTTTATTTGAACTTCAAGAAGTATGCTCCTAATTTTTGAGGGTTTAAATTTTAGCGGGAAATTTTGTAAATGTTACCCATTGTGTTTCACACAACCCTTGCTGATCATTTTATTTGTCAAAAAAAAAAAAAAAAAAGGTGATGCCATCGTATGCGCAACCTCGGGCGTCTTTCTTGGACTGGTTCATCACTCCCACAACCCGGATTGTCGAGCTCGTGGGACGACGACTCAGTCCCCGTCCTCCGATGCCCTACGTCCCGATCCGCAGCAAGAAACCCACCACGTTGATCCCGTCCCAGAACAACGCCACCAGCATCAACTCATCATCCGACGCGACTTCCGATCCCAGCAAACCAAGCACTAAAGCCTCCGTCAACTCGGCGACAACCAATAAAAGTACTAGTACTAGCGGTGTTAGTAGTAGTAGTACTGCTGCTGCGACGACGACGACTACGACGACGACTTCTACCACTGTTGCACGAACCGTGGCAACACTTCCGCCTTTATTCGGGTCACCGCACGCTTCCAGCGAGGAAATGGCGTCCATGGAATTTATGGGCCCGTACGGGATCCCGTACCAGGTTTCGAATCCGTTCTACTCGTCGATGAACTCGGATGGGGACTTTATTCGGAAGCGGACGCCGAGGATCAGGCGGATGCCGGAAGCTGACGGGGAACTCGGAGGTGCTGGGGATGATGACGGGATGGGTTCGGAGGAGCCGTTTGGTGGTGGGTGCACTGATGGGTGTGGTGATGATGACGATGATGATGACGACGACGACGACGAGGTAGGGAATAATCGAGGAGTTGGACTGCTGCATCGGCATAATAAGCGAGAGACGAGGACGGATCTTGATGAGGAGATGCTGGAGGGGAGGGAATCTGAGGTGGAGGACTCATTGCTGGTGCGTTGATGTTCTTGATTTGTATTTTATTTTTTTCTGCTTTCTAAACATACAAACAATCGAAACCTGTTAACCCTTATGTGACATTTCTGGGGTTTTTCAAAGTGATTGCTCAACAGACATTTAAAAATTGAGAAATATTTCTCTTGCAAATATAGCCTTGGTTGGGATTTATTTTTTTCTATCTGTGCCAAAAAGTTTCGGATGAGCAAAAAAAGAAATTGAGGTCTGAAATCAATCTTCCCCCTGATTATATTTTAATTACCGTACTTGTTTCCTCTGATAATATATTACCGTATTTACTCAAGTACCACGCGCCCTTTAGTAAGGCCCGCACAGGGGTTTTCCAGTTGAAAATTTGGCTATAATCTGATCCCCAAGTAAGACGCGCACCCCAATTTTTAGTGAATCTAAAACCACAGAATTTTGAAAATGAATGCAAAAAATTGACTGTAGACATGAATTGAACAAAAATCTGATCAATTTTCACCTTTTTCAGTACAAAAAAGTTTTCTTGTTGCATTTTTTTCCAAATTTCTCCATTATAATTAAGTATAATGTACACATTATTTCCTAAAACTTCTTGAAAAATGTGTACCCGTTTATGACGCGCACCCCGTTTTTTCTTCTGAAATCTAAGAAAAAAGGTGTGTGTGGTACTTGAGTAAATACGGTATTGCACTTTATTAGATTGGATGCAGGACAAAATGTTGGGACTTATTCCACGCATCAACGTGGGATGTTATCCAGTTATTCTAGTAAATTTTTAAATTAATTTTTGGACCAGCTAAGAATTCCATTTAGGGAGGTTTTGAGTTAAGGGAAGCTAAAATTGCAGTTGAGGAAAAGGACATGAAAAAGAGTTTGTTTTACTGAGAGTTTTGTTTGTAATTGGCTGGTATTTGTTGTTGCATAATTTTGCTGTGCAATGGGGTCTTGATTAACAAATGCCCTGGCTAACAAACTACATGGTTAACAAACTTTTCATGTTGGCTTTGGCTGCCTTGGATAACTTACCTGACTTGGTTTACAAACTTTGGGGGCTCAAAAGCATGCCATGCCAAATGCCCACCTTCTTTGGTATGTATTAATTGGTACCTTAGTTAATATATTTCCCAGTGGATATTTCTTGCTCTTTTAAGTTTGTAATAACAAAAGTAAAATGATTTTCGCATGATTTTGACTTCTATTTCAACATTTGTGCTTGTTTTTGCAAATTTCTTCTTTGTTCACTCAATCTTGTTTTATGATAGTGCTTTCAATTTAGATGTGCTTTTTGTTTCCCCCTCCCTGAATATAGCAATGTAAGCCAGCCATTCATGTTCTTGATCCTGTTCACAGACACAGGTTGCTCAAAACTGCGGAGTGAATGAATTTATTGACTAAGATGCCCAAATAAATTAACTGGATCAATTTTTCTGAATTAACAAGTGTTGTCTTCACCCACCTTCTCTGGCATCCTTCTTAGGCTCCTGTCTTCATCAACACTTCTCTGAGCTTCTATTCTAATTTTTTCAATAAAAGTTCTTGTATTTTAGGCCCAGTTAACATTTTAGGTAAATCGTTTTTGATTTTTCATGTTTTTTTCAAGGTTATGGAAGCAATTAAAATTATTCATGTACTTTCTTAAGGGAAAATGTGACTTTGTTAACAAACTACTGTATTTGGTTGACAAACTTTGCTCAGGAATGGATCAAGTTTGTAAACCAATGCCCCACTTCACATGGTTTGATTTGATTTGTATAAGATGATGAACTGCCACTTGCCATCATCAGAGGTGGATGCAATTTTTTGTTGTTGTTGCTCTTCAATCCTTCATGGGTGTCTAATAAATTTTTCATGGACTATTCAGCTGCATAAGGAAGCAAGAAAAATACATTGATCACAATGAATCCCCTCCACTGAAGTGAAGTTCAATTGATCAAGAGCAGCTGAATGGACACTTGCATGCTCTATGACTTTGGGGGTTATGTGGTAAACTTCACTTCAGTGGAGGGGATTCACTGTGATCCAGGTCTTTTTCTTATTTCCTTCTGTACCTGAATAGTTCATGAACAATTTATTAAACACAAATGAAGAATTGAATAGCAAGAGAAAAA